AACTAACTAACATGCAGCCTGAACATCAGAGCAGGAATAAGCAGGACAATTGTGACTGTGAGATTCAGTTTTGAACTCGTAACAGATCCATTTGATGCAGAGACCACAGCAGAAACACTTGCAGATACAACGGATATAATCACGCTCTGAGTAATGAGTTCTGCAGTTTGCAAACAGAAACCTGTACGAGGAGACGTTCAAGATGCAGATCTATAAATACATCCACTACAGCGATTTCCCTGTTTACGGCCTGAACTAATGACCTTGCATTAAAAAAAGGTGACAAAGTGGCTGGTGCACTAAATGTAGGTCAGAAAACTATTTTAACTGGCCTAAAACAATGGAGCTTACACCTGTTGATCAACTTTATGAAATTCTACTCTAGTCTAGTCTGGGTAAGGTTTAAACGGTCATCTTAGGATTTTACTTTCACAACTTGAACATACTGCTCTGCAATGTCTTTCCTCGTCTCAGCCCCCTGTGTCATGGTGTGTGGTACATCTCCCTCGAGTCAGAATGCCCATATTTGGTTGGCTGAGCTGCATCACGTGATGTGATTCACTACCCGACTAAGCCTCTGCTGTTAAGTTTCGGTTCACGATAGTCACGTGCTCGCCCACTGACCAATCACAGCACACTCTGCACCTCGTGGCAGAGCTGCACATGGAAACTGAGCTGCACGTAATGCTGACGTAGCTATAGGCCGGCTAGCAGGCGCTGACACGTTAAAGAATACGGCCAACATGTCAAACTAAAGATCTGATTGGTTGAACACTATGACAATCAACAATATCGTCCCCATTCACTTAAACTGCACATGGATGCACGTGTGAGTCTGCAGGCCTCTGCCTCTGTTCTTACCTAGAGACACAGAGGTGAAATCTGATTGGATAAAAGCTCTACTTAAAACAAGCTGCACTGGAAGCAGAGCAACTGAGGAAGACAGTAGCTGTGCAATGAGAAAATAAGATAATGCGAAAAATATTTTTATAAATTATAATATTAAAATATATATATATATAATATTGAAAAAATATTAAAATATAAAATAGATATAACTTTGTGATTCTGTTTAGGCCAGCAGAGAAGGCCTTGCAGGGCCTGACAGCCCGCCACTGTTTAAACCTTTGAGGTGGGCTGTGCATCAGCTATGAAATATCAAACCTAAACAAAACACTCTACTCTCGTTACTGCAGTGCAGTACAAGTATACATGGGATTGTTATTTTTTTAAATATATCAAAGGGTTATGTAGGCCTACAATTATGTAATATGGTTTAAGTTTAATTTCTGGAATGTGTCGGACAACTTCATGACAGCTCTTTGTTTTTGACAAAAGGTAACCACTGATGGTAAAAAGAAGAAGAAAAGAAATCACAAGTTTGACTTTGCACACACTTGGTCCCTCGCTGGGTGGATAAGCCTAGCCATCTTTGTAAAACTACAAACGCAAATACTTACGCCGCAAAAGCACCGCAGTGAACTCAGCAGACACTCAGATCTCCGTAGTCAACTCTGCAGACGCTTGAATTTTAGTGCACCTATATGCTGAAATCCACGGTAAACGCATTCAAACGGAACAGATTGGGAGCGAGCGAAGGACTTTGAAAAATTAGCGGAGGGATTAACGTGAAACAACATCCGGCTTTCAAAATAAGATGTCAACTAAGCGGGAAAGATTTAAGTGAGACAACATCCGGTTTCCATAATAAGATGTCAACTAAGCGTATGTACAAATTTCATGATGTAGAAATGAGATGAAATGAATTATATTTACATTATGTATAAAACATGTTACCTGTACCAATTAGGAGATATTTCAAAGTAAAATCATACATTTGTACCGAGAAACAGGTACATTTCTGAATATTTGAAGTGTTATAAAAAGTATTTTCTCAATAATTCCAGAAAATGACTGATAGATATGTGTTCAGGACATCGTTGACTCCAATCATACCGAAAATCAGACATATTTACTGTACCAATTAAGAGATATTTCAAAATAAAAGTCATACATCTGTACCAAGAAAATATCTAATAAATGAATATTTGAAGTGTATTTTCTCAATAATTCCAGACAATGACTGATTTTTTAACTATGCACCATTTCCTCTAATCTAATCTGAAATTAGAAAAATTGTCTCATGAATGTGATTTGAAGTTCACTCATGACTGAGATTTTGAAGGTATTTAATTTTGAAATGCTACTTGAGAATGTCCTGGATCTGTCTGAGTGACACCTTGAAGTGGTCTGCTATTAACCTGTTGTGGAATGATTTTGTAACTATGCACCATTTCCTCTAAAATCCCATCTGAAATTAGACAAATTGTCTCATGAATGTGATTTGAAGTTGGCTCATGAATGAGATTTTGAAGGGCTTTAATTTTGAAATGCTACATCAGAATGTCCTGGTTCTCTCTGAGTGACACCTTGAGGTGGTCTGCTGTTAACCTGTCGTGAAATGATACATCAGAAATGTCTCATGAATGTGATTATTTTGAAAACCGGATGTTGTCTCACGTTAATCTTTCCGTTAACTTTGAAAAATCCTTCTCTCGCTTCCGATCTGTGCCGTTTGAATGCGTTTACCGTGAATTTCAGCATATAGGCGCACTACAATTTAAGTGTCTGCTGGTTGACCACGGAGATCCGAGTGTCTGCTGATTTGACCTCAGTCCAATAGCCCTATGTCATGTCATTTGCAGCGTATGCAGGCTCGAGACACGACATGTAAGCCACTTCATAGCTGGCAGCGCGAGGGCTGGCCGTTGCATGTTAACCATCGTTAATGTACCTCATAGATCGGCCACACGAGCTAAACGTCCCGAGACGGATCGACTCGCAACGGAACCAAAACACCAGCAGCTAACGCTAGAAACAAGGAAGCTGAGAGAGAGAGAGAGAGAGAGAGAGAGAGAGAGAGAGAGAGAGAGAGATTAACATCACACAAAGATGCAATCGATGTCAACGCACTGTTAACGTGAGTTGTTAAGATCAGATCTGGTGCCATACTTAGATATTCAGGTTCCATAGTGTAGCGGTTATCACGTCTGCTTTACACGCAGAAGGTCCTGGGTTCGAGCCCCAGTGGAACCATCTGATGTTTTCTGTCCTGACGAGGCTTACAGCTCCTAATTGATCATCTCCTGTCATCGGTTGCTCTCAGAAGTTGATTTGACCGACAATGCAAAAATGGTCCTCATTAACTGGACAACGATAGAAAACGCACTGCATGCCTACTTCACTATAAATCAGCAATAACTGCACAGCCATTACATTCTACCTTTACCAACACTTTTTGAGAGTTTAACTATATTATTGAGGTTGTAGTGTACAGTGGTGTTGAAGTGGACTGCATTGTCTTTCTGATGTTTTAGCCAGAATTTTAGAATCACATTTCAACCTGTCAAGTTTAACAGCATCCCTAAACACAACCTCAATAACAAACATATAGTAGTAGCCTAGTTGTAACACCTCTCGGACTGTGTCTCTAAAAACATCAACATTTTCTCAAGTTTTTAATTAGTTGTGTTTGATTGCGCATACAACAGTAGAGGTGTAGCTATAATTAAGTAGCCAGGTAGTGTTTCTTTTTGTGGTTTGAAGAGACGCGCTGACATTAAAAGCTGTATTTGTCTTACATGATTATGAGTTTTGGGATACAGAAATAGAAAAGTAATTACAATACTGGAAACATAACCCAATGTCAAGGGTTTAAATATTAGACCTACATTATGATACTGTTTCTGAAACTACTTGTAAAAATATGAATAAAGTATATGCTAATCAAAATCTAAAAATAAAATAATCTCACAATTCCTTTGTTCCCTGCTTAAATTCTCAAAATTCCTGTCACCTTATGATTTTAAAGACAACTTTCTTGGAAAATATGCAGCCGAAGAAGCACACTAAAATAAAAAAAGGTCAAATGGACTCTCTTAGGTAACAGTTATGAGCAAGAAGAAAGCCAGTCACCTCCACTGGATATTAAAAACAGCTCCTGTTATTAATCTGGGTGATACACCGAATTATTTAACAATGAGAATGTTGACCAAATGGCATTAAGGAGATGTGTCTTCATATTAAAACACGGTGTCTGTAAATTAAGTGTGGATGAAACAAAACTGTATTTATGTCAAGTAGGAGACAAACTTAAGATTTAAATAATAGTTTAGCGTTTTTCTAAATGCATCAATTATGAAATTCATTATAATGGACCATGGGATCAGATGAGTTCATACAGAGGCTACATTTCACTGTGTGCTGTGTAACATGTGTAATAATAAAAGTTAATTTACATTTTAACTTCACTGCATTGATCAATCCAGCCAAACATAAATTTAGTGAGGACAATAAACGTTAAATTATTAATTTAGGTTCACATAAATCATCTCATACATCGTTGCTGGTCTCACTGCTGTTTCATCAGGCTTGAACTGGCACGTGTTAGCTAAGTGTTAACTGACACTCCCAATTAGTGAGATTATGAGTTAAGATTAACTTTAGCCCATACACAATTTAATTTAAAACTCAGTAACCTTGCTCACCTTTATAAGAATTACTCACCAAATCTTCTGTTGCAGATAACTGGATCTTCGGGAGCATTGCGTTACCCGTCAACTTGTTTTACTTTTCAATTAAGGAATTATCAGTTGATAGCATTTGATATTTGTTGTCACAGTGCTGGAGAGCGGTCCAAACAAGTAGTTAGGTTAGTTTACTTAACCGCGGACAACAGCGCCATCTATTTATCCTTCCGATGTAACGTTATGCTAACTTCTTTGACCCGCTCTGCTCTTCAGTAAATCCCGCTTTCAGCTATTGTTCACCGCTACTTCACTATTAAAAAGAAAACAAATTAGCTAGCAGATAGTGTCAATTGGTCAAAAGGTTAGGAAAGGTCGCACTGTTGTTATTTGAATGTGGCCTTTTTTCCCCTCACAACCGGATATTGTTTCAGTATTATTTCCTGGTGTCACATTAATTTGTGTCCCCCCAAAAATGGCGAATTTAGCCGCTGCTGCTGCGGCTGCAGCTGCCGCTGCTATCGCCGCGAATAGAGACCCAGCCGTTGATCGTTCATTACGATCAGTGTTTGGTAAGTTTGTTACCGTTACCTCGTCACTGGCGGTTTAATCAATTTGGTACGTAATACGTTGATAAACCAACGGCTAATGAATGAGAGCCTGCTAGCCGGCTAGTGTTGCTGTTAGCTTGGCAACGAGGGAACAAACGTAACGACCCGAAGAACGAGAAAACAAATATTTTATCGGTTAAATGGAAACGTATATTTAATTGTATTGTCAATTAACGTTTCTCTATTTATTATTTTAGTGGGGAACATCCCGTATGAAGCTACAGAGGAGCAGCTGAAAGACATCTTCTCTGAAGTGGGACTTGTTGTTAGCTTCAGGTGAGTGAAAGAGGAGCCATTCATCTTCTGGTTCCATCATTATGTGCCCCAAACCCCAGATACAAGAGTTGGTGTTTTTACTGTTTAACACAGTATAAACAAACCGACAATACAAGCTTATGCACCTGGATTTCCCCTGTGAACTCTAAACCATGTGGACTATCAGACATGATGATATGTGTCCTTTGTGCTCAGGTTGGTGTATGACAGGGAAACAGGAAAGCCAAAGGGATATGGTTTCTGTGAGTACCAGGACCAGGAGACGGCCCTCAGTGCCATGCGGAACCTGAACGGGAGAGAGTTCAGTGGTCGAGCCCTCCGTGTCGACAACGCAGCCAGTGAGAAAAACAAGGAAGAGCTCAAAAGTAAGCGGCTATTACCTCTTGGCTTTTTTGGGGATTTTATTGAGATGTGTATGTGCGAAGCTACAGTTATTTCTGTCTTGCGCAGGTTTGGGAACAGGAGCCCCCATCATTGAGTCTCCTTATGGAGACAACATCCAGCCACAGGAAGCCCCAGAGTCCATCAGCAGAGCTGTGGCCAGTCTTCCCCCCGAGCAGATGTTTGAACTTATGAAACAGATGAAGGTAGGCTGCTTTAATAACTCCTGTTGTTAATAGCAAATATTTCAGCTTTTCTGACCTGTGACTAGTATGTTACAAATCAAATTTGCATAACCTTTCCTTATAGACATTTTTTAATTGATTTATTTAGCATGAAAACCCAAACCACGAAAACTCATCAGTCCCAGTAGAATGTCTGCCTTACGCTCACTGTTTAAAATGAGGCTAATAAATAAACCAATGGTCTACCTCACTGTCAATCAATATATCAATAGTCCTTATAAGCAAAATGAGCTGTCATGTTTGTGTGTGTGAGCATCACATTTGGGTTGTGTCCCTTCTTCTTAATGGCGGAAGAGGCTGTTCAGAGCTCACTGTAAAGTTGCTTTTTTTAATTTGATATGTTTTTGTAAATAATTAACATTCTAGTAGTTTTCCCTTTTGAGGTCAGAAAGGTTACAAACATGGTTTGATTTGGAGAGAACCTGAGTTAAATTAATTTTTGCCTATTTTATTTATTGGTTATGAGTCGGTTGTAAGCCAAAAACCTGACTGATGTTACTTTTCTATAATGATGATATTTGTCTTGAGAATTCTGATAAAGTACTTTTTTAAACTTTTTTTTCTACATGCGTTTAAAATCCATCATAAATCCTAAATGCAACTTTTCTCATCAAAATGTTCTTATTTTTCGGATAGTTTTGTGTTTCTAAAAAAATAATGTACATTATGTCCATATTTAAGATAATGAGATAAATAAGTAATACAAAACCCCGTTTTTCATGAAAGGGTTAATGGTCAGTTATGATGCCTTGTCTCTGGTGTTATAACTTGATTTCTGGGTCTGGTGCGTCAATAGCATTGATGCATTATTCTCGTGCTAGTTGGCATCTTCGAGAATAGAATGACAACTTCCTGTTGAAAGTAGCAAAAAGACTCATGAATCTCATATATTTGTATTATAGTTTTCCCCAAAAGTAATATTCTCAAACTGTATGTTTAATGCTGCTCACCCTCTTTAGTCCCCCAAGAAGATGGTGACAAATGTTCCCCTCTCAATTTAAATCGCCTCCAGGGTGACGACTATATGCGCGTGCTCTTACTTCCCTTTTCATTAACGGAGGCTGCGATGTGCAGTCTGTCTCCCTCGGCTCTGCCAGAGAAGCCTTATCTTTGCACATCTGGCAGCCTTCTTCATTAGGCTCAGAGAAATACCACACTGCAGATATTTCTCCCCCTCCGACTGGAGAAGTGTTTTGTCGCACCAAAGTGTGCGTGAGTGGGACAGCTCCGTATGCTGATCAGAGTGTGAGAGCTTGGGCTCCGATCCTGAGAGCACAGATATCATTGGACGACTTTGTTTAATGTTTTGTGCTGATGCAGCCGCTTCAGTCGGATACGGGTATGTGTCTGAATCATAAGTGGGCAGCAAAAAATACAGGAGTGTGTCCAACCTGTCGGGAAGTAAAAGAACAAAACAGGTTTATTTTAACGAGGAGCTCTTATGTAAAAGGCTCCAAATTTATTTATTTATTTTGTACTCTGCCCATTTGTGATGTCATATTCCAATATTCTTTTTGGTGACAATGTGATTTCTGTCTCCAGCTGTGTGTGCAGAACAGTCCCCAGGAGGCGAGGAACATGCTGCTGCAGAACCCTCAGCTGGCCTATGCTCTGCTGCAGGCCCAGGTGGTCATGCGGATTGTTGACCCTGAGATCGCCCTGGTGAGAGCAGAGCAGACTCGGAATGAAGACATTTGTCAAATCTTGCATGATCTTCTGTTTGTTTAGCGCAAGCTTCGTCTGACTGTGGCCTTGTCGTTAGTCGAAGAAGCCACCATTGCACATTTATTTTTAAAAAGATGCTCTTCCATATGCTCCACATACAGAAAATGCTCCACCGTCAGACACCCGTCCAGCCTCTGATTCCCAGCGGGCCGGTTGGAGGAGCACCGCCGCTCAACCCCCCTTCTGCTCCGCCCAGCGTGCCGGTCCCTCAGCCGCAGCCGGTGGTAAACGCAAGAGTCCTTCACTCTTTAGAGGCAGTGTCATGTCAATTCTGTTCTACAAAATAGTCACACTCTCTACCCTGAAAATAGATAAATATTGATGAGAACAGTGTTGGAGAGCAACGCTGCAGTCCGTAGTCTGCTAATGTCACAAATTTACTAATTTTCTAACGATGAAAACCAGTTGATCAGCCGAGTCTCAGAATTCAATAAACGTGTAAGTTTCATTCAGGGAAAAAATGTCTCAAGATGAAAGTTTAGGTTAAATTAATTATGTTTCTTTTTTTTAATCGTCTGATCAGCCTGGAATGCATGTCAATGGAGCCCCTCAAATGATGCAGCCCCCCAACATGGGGGTTGTCCCTGGACCAATGCCTGTTCCAGGACCAGGACAAGGACCGGCACCAGGACCAGTCGGGCCTCCAGGTAATCCTCATCAGACTGCATGCATAGTTACATCTCCATCTGAACAAGCGTCATGCTTATACACAGTGTATTGCTAAGGTCATTGACGGTTCATGTGTGAGGCGTGACTGTTTCATTGCACTCGTTCCAGTGAACCTCCACATTGCAGGGTTTTATTCAAGCAGCAACATAGATTTGGCATTTTATAGTATTTTATTTATATATTATAATTTCCATTAAACTGTCGTGCAGCAGTGCGAGCGACCTCCCCCCTCATCACTCTTTCAGCAGGTGCAAACAAAGCGACAGTCATGCATTTTTATCAGTACAATGTGATGCGATGGTTCGGCTGTTCTTCAGTCCAAAGTTGATTTTTACCAGTTATTTGTGTAAAGTTGCACTTATTTATATGACAACCATGACTGCGGCGCTCCTTTACCTCTCATGTTGCACATGTCATGGCTCACTGGGTTCACTAGGTGTCCCCAGAGCCTGATTTTAAGAGATTATCATCAGCTTGACTCTTTTCATTCTCTCTTAATTGTTTTGATATTGTTTGTTGTTTAATGTTAAAGTTCCCTCCTCACCTCTGTGTGTGTGTGTGTGTGTGTGTGTGTGTGTGTGTGTGTGTGTGTGT